TAGTAAGGATGCAGTGAGAGCAAACATGCCAAAGTGTTTTAAATACAAATGTAGGAATTGTCGTTGTATTATAGACTGTACTGAGATCTTTATAGAAAGAACATACAATCTTAAAGCAAGGACTGAAACCTGATCAAATTATAAGCACCAAAACACAATTAAATATCTAATTGGAATCACACCAGCAGGAGCTATATCTTTTTTGTCTAGTGGGTGGGGAGGTTGTGCCTCTGACAAGGTAATAACTTGAGATTCTGGCTTTTTGGGTAAACTTGAGCATGGGGACGAGATCCTTGCAGATAGAGGTTTCCCTGTTAGAGAGGAATTGACCAGTGTAGGAGCAACATTAAGAATCCCAAGTTTCACAAAGGGGAAATCTCAGTTGCCTGGTTCTTGTGTTGACACTTCACGTCAGTTGTCAAGAGTCTGCATACATGTGGAACGAGTTATAGGTCAGCTTAAAACCTTTCATATACTGAACACTGTCATAGCCATCAGCCAAGTCAATATGCTAGATGACATTTTAACCATATGTGCTGGTCTTATGATCCTTAGGGGGACTGTGGTGCCCCGACAATAACTGTGTTTAGAGTCAAAGAGATGTACATTACTTTACATGATTGTGTCAGGCTTTTAAGGGCTAATGAGGGCAATGATCACTCACTACTTGCTCTCTCTGTCTCTCACTTACTCATCACTCTCTCTGTGTAGCCTGACTGTAAAATTAATAACAGTAATGAATAACTAAATAAATTTTATCAGACAGGATCATTGAGAGTACAAAAAGGTTGAGAACCACACCACAGAGCTATTTTATTTATAATGGCCATCTTAGGACCAAGGTTAAGGGACCATTTAGGAAAAACTCCTTTTAAAGCTGACATGCTAAGTATTAACATGCACTGACAATGTTTTAAATGCAATATATTGAAGGCGACATAATGGAATCAAAATGAAATGTACATCTGTAACCAAAAGTGTTTTCAACAATGACAAGTGTAAATAATTAATACTATATGAGCTCCTCTAACATTTATACCTGGAAATGATTTTTTTTCTTGCTTGTAAATTTTGAGTATTATCATTGTCTGCAGAACTCAAACTGCACTTCTTTCTGGGGATGAACAATATATATCAGTGCTGTTTGTGATTTTATGTAAATGTACATTAAGGAAAAAATAAATGGACACTTGAAGAGTCAGATGTGTTGTTTGTTGTGTTAACAGTAATGAAGTCAGTTAGATTTTGTCAGGAGTACCTATTCATCTTTGGTCATTACATCAGTTTTTCCTCACGTGCTGTTGTCCAGCATCCAGTATTCATCATCGTTGGATGTATCTATTTGCATCCACATTTCCATTTTTTGGCGTATCTGGTAATGTTCACACATGCATAGTGAAAGTGTTGGCAGCAGTCTGTGCACTTGATCATTTTGCCAAAGCTTGGCTTTTTGCAGTACAGACATTTGATCTCTTCAGCCAGGTCAGGGGCTTAACCCCCCGGTCCCCCTCATAAAAAATCACACCTGTCCCCTTCGGGACGTTTTTCGTCCTTGTTGAAAAACAACCATAAAAATATTAAATATCAATATTTTTTCTACTTTTTTTTTTTTTTTTTTTGCTTAAAGAGGGTTCCCGCAGGTCCTTAAAAGTCTTAAAATGTCTTAAATTAAAATCCGGGTAATTAAGGTCTTAAATTGTCCTAAATTTACGTAAATTTGCTGTAGGTATTAAATTTTCAGACGGTGCGTTTAATGCCGATGGGAAAGCACAGTAGCCCACCGTAAAACATATAATAGTGTGTATTTGTGTGATTAATTTAGTATGGTGCCTATATGGTACGGTGTCGTAAATGTGTCTCCGCGATTAATAGCTGTTTTACGGTACGTCTGCTACAGACGCTGACGTCGGGCAGCGCCCCGCCATTTCGCGGGTGTCGAGGTGAGCCGTTGAAGATGCAAAATGGGGAAATGTAAATTTAACGAGAAGTGGATGGAGGAGGACGTATTTACCGGCAAACAACAACGAGGCAATGTGCACATTTTGTAAGAATACTTTTCTTTAGGGACCATGGGGCTCAAAGCCGTCGAGTCTCACATGAAAGAAGTAAAGCACCAGCGGTACATGGCAGCAGTTAGCAATAGCGGGGCCAGGCTAATCCCTGCATTGTTTGCAGCGCGACCGAAAGACGTTACAAGTTCAGACGCCACCTCTCAGTCGGCTATGACGAGATTCATTTCACCGCCAGACACCCAAAAGGCAGAAGTACTGTGGGTTCTGCATACTGTGACGAGGCACAATTTGTTAAGATCTAACGAGGACATACGAGACATCTTTGCCGCCATGTTCCCCGATTCCAAGCTTGCCAAGTCATTCACCTGTGGTGAAAATAAAACGGCATATGTCGCCAAATATGGTTTCGCTTCATTCATCAAAAAGGAGCTACCGCGCAGCGTGAGTTAGAAGCCATATGTTGTCATGTTTGACGAAAGCATGAATGAAGCGACAAAGAGCAAACAAATGGACCTTCATTTGCGGTTCTGGATTACTGATGAGTATGGCACACATCATGTCATTTCCCGTTACTATGGGTCGGAGTTCATGGGTCACTCCAGAGCCGAGGACATCTTGGGTCATTTCAGTGTAAGTAACGTTACGATTGTGTTTGAAATCACATATATTATTCATACTAAAGTCCATTCTCACTGAGAGCGAATTAAACATGCGGATTATTCTCGCGGAAAAATATAAAAGTTGATTTCATGGGTTCTTATGGAAGTTTTCACACCGGGGCGGAACTTTTGTGCGGTGAAAAAAGTTTCCGCCCAGACTTTGACCCCCCGCGGAATTCGCCGGCGGAACTACACAGCTGGGTAAATGAAATTGTTTGTTTATAGTCGCGCAGAGCCGGGAGAGTCCGAAATCCAGTCAGGAAGGACGGTATGGGAGAAAGATTGATAAACCTCGTTTCACAGCACCCCGTCCTTTTTGATAAAAGACGGGATGATTTTATGAACAATGAATTAAAGGACGTCTGGCAGTCCATTGTCCAGCTTGGTGGCTGCGGTGAGAGTGTTAAGTGCTAAAGAAAGTTGATGTTGACGCTTGCTAAACGTTAGCTTGCTAGCTCGCTGCTGCTACTCTCGTCCATGTTCACCCACACCCGTTCACGCAGCGCGGACTTTGAACACAACAACACGAAACTTCGCATCACGTCCATACCGTACCTGTGTATGGTTTGAGCACGGAAAAGCGCTGCGCAGATATTCCGCAAATCCGTCCCGCATTTCTGTATCGCAGCAGTGAGAGTGGCATTGGCAGGTAGTGGCACCCTAGTGGCAGTCTGCGGCAAACTGTGGCATCTCCTGGCACCCGCTCGGCAGTTCAGAAACGCCTCCCTTGACTCGCTGCCAATAAGGGCGGGGCCACATTTCCTGGGAAAACCCACTGGTCCGTGTTGTTGTTACGACAGTCACTCTGCTTTCCACTTCCGCCATGGAGTCATGATGAATACAAAATAAAAATTAAGGGAAAAATCAGCTACTTATTTAAACATTTTAATGTACAAAGTTTTGCACAATTTCTCTTTGTTTTGCACTTCTTAATATTATCTAAATATATATTAATATCTGTTCCATAGCGTAAATGTGAATGTAAAATATTGTACATATTGTACTATTCTTATTCTTATATTTAATACTTTATATTTCCCTGTGTTTATATTATTATTTTCTATATTTCCTTGGTTGTATTACTTGTTTTACATATCTAATATGAAATACAATTATGAAAATATCTTAACATAAGTTGCTATGCAGTGCCAAAGCCTGCCACAAGGTGACAGGATGTCTTTGCAACAGCTGGACTGACAGAATGTAACAATAGCATAAAGGGTACTATTAACACAAGCTATCTTACAATATCAAATGAGAATGATCAGTAGAGTGCAATTGTCCAAAATTTTGAGCATTTTAACTGTAGCATATTTAGGGCCCGAGCAGGAGACCTGCGAGGTCTCTATTGTTTTTCTCCTGATTATTTATTTATTTAAATTTGTTTAAAGTGGCATTAAAAAGAACATTAAAAAGCATTAAATTAGATTTGCTGATACCTGCAGAAACCCTGAAATATGGTATTTATGGTTTTACATTTAGCTATATTTTCACATAGGGATTTGACATTGTGTATTTTAAGTCCATGTACACACACACACACACAAACTAATATTGCAATATTTTGATACAGACCACAATGTCACATCCTTATGAGCACAGCTAGCCTGATTCCAGACCATAGACCGAGCCTGACATTATTTAATTACTAAAGCACTGAGTTTGTGTCACACAGTTCTTATGGTTACAGGCTATTTAACAGGCCGGGCGTGCGCCGTGGGTGTTCAGCGGAGAGGGAGACCTCCGTGTTTCAGACGGGAGCGGGCGGCGGGAGGTCTGAGGCTTTCAGTGAGGGGAGAGGGACAAATATAACAAAATAAGATAAAATAGGAAAAACCTGTCTCCCTCTTTATATCCCTCGTTTAATCAAGGCGGAGGCGGGCGGCGGGAGGTCTGAGGCTTCCAGCGAGGGAAGCGGTAGAAACAAACAGCCAATGTGTGTGTGTTCTGTTCAGGTGTTATAACAGTGCCCAAGCATGAATGCATATAAGTATTTTATTACATTGCTGTGGTTAATTTGAGGTAATAGTGTTACTGTAGAAATCAGAGAATCAGTTTTTGCTGTTATATATTCTCAGGGAGATGATACAAGCTCTAAATCTGAAATACACACCACACACGTGTATTTTCATCTAATTGTACTGTGCAACAGTTAGAATAAAGTCTTTGTATTTGTATGATTGCATTTGCGTTTATACTTGTTTAAGTATAGCAAGTATAATGAATATAATGTAGGGATCAGTAAGAGGAATCGGTAAGGAATCAGACCGTTAAGAAGGAATCGGTAAGGAATCGGAATTGTTAAAATCCTAACGAGTCCCAACCCTAGACCAGGTCCAGATCACAAACCACTATACTTAGACTAGTCAAATCTGGACTAAATTAACATAGAGACTCAAGAGACTCATTAAAACACAGTTTCAGATTTGTGAAAGAAAGCCAAAGCTTTTTACTATTTTGACGACTATCAGAGTTTCTCTGTTGATAATAAGTTCTCTTTTTTATTCTATTCATCTTGGTTACTTGGTTTCTAAGCTTACAGTAATACTTTCTGTCCTCAGGCGAACCAGACTGAACAGCAACCTTCTTGGCCTCCTCTATTTGTGACATTAAGTCCTTCAATGAATTGTCAATCCATGGGGCGCCTTTGGCTTTAACTGTGGACTTCTTTAAAGGGGCGTGCCTGTTAACAATTTTCATAAAATAATCCATAAATAAATTCAGAGAATCTTCTGCATCATTAACAGCGTACACATCAGCTCATTTTGTTTTACCAAGTTCATCAAAAAAAAAGCCTCATCATTGAATCTTTTATAGGTTCTAGTCAGTACAATTTTGGCATTGGCTTTTGGCAGCTTAGTTCTCCTAACCACAACAATATGTATTGGGAATACAGTAACAAGCATGATTTCCATCAAGGGAGCAGCACGGGATGACTTCCAGTATCCAAGCAGCCATGAATTCACTGTAATGGTGAAGCGTCTCACAGTACTACTCAATGCTGCAAGACAGATCTGGGACCAGTGGAGCTGAGTGGGGAAGTTACTACTCAGGTATTTAGCCTTTTTTTTATTTTTTAAAACATATGACACTCCATACAGGAGACATGTGCCTCATCCAGATCAATCAGACAACATGTGTCTGCCTGTGTGGCTTAATTTATTAATTTGATTTTATCACATGAGATTCATTACACAATGTGCTGTGTGTCTGTCCAGAATGTGACAACCCCCAAAAAGAAGCAGGGAGCGACTCCATCAAGAATGAGGCCGGCAACCTTAGCCTTCGAAGCAGCCAGGAGACGTCCACTGAGGAGACTGATGAGTCCACCTGCTCAGCTTTGATCTTGGAGAGATCGCCACAATCAAGGTGAACAGTTGGATAGCAAGTACACAAATGGAAATAGTGGTTAGTGGTTCAATATGAATGCAACTTTTTATACTAATCTAAACAAGGGACAGTTCTCTTGTCCATTTTTTTTTTCATCTAAAGTATTATTGTCCCATGTTAGTCATTGTGGCTGTTAATGTGTTAATGTCCCAAACAGAAACAGTGGCCTGAATTTGAGGCTACGTTTTAAATGTTAATTGGTGTGGTTCATGTTTTCCAGCATCAGTCCACACCCAACAAGAAGGATGATTCCCAGCTTCTGGACCTTGAATTCCAAGCAAGACAAGCCGTCATTGACTCTGAACGAAGGAGCAGGACAGGCCTACCAAGATTCTTCAAGCTTATCCCTGCTTCAGAGTGCTGGATCATGTAAGTAAATGTCTTCATTTTAAGTAGGCCTGTGTTTCCTTAGTCTGGTTAACAGCAGACCAACTGTCAAATGAGAACTGGTGTGGGAGTATAGAATCAGATGCATCTCATTGTTAATGAAAGCACACTGATTTACAGATGTATATTGTGATTTGTTTATAAAACACTCCACATAAACATGTTGGTTGCAAAAATATTGTATATCAGTATAAAAAATTCCTCCACATATACAAAGTTAAGGTTCACCAATGTGCTTTCTGATCCTCATACAAAATGTTTTGTCAACATGTGTGGTAAAAATGTGTACTTAAAAGAAATGTGTGTATCAGAATACATTTGTGAACTTTGTTTTTATATGTGGAGGTTTATTTACATTTGTATACAACACACGGCTCCCCAAATAGTTGCATTTTTTGATCATTTTTTAAGTCAGTGCAGGTATTTTACAACGACTCGCTCATGTCAGGGCTCCAGACTAACTTTTTTTAGAAGGCAGTGTTCAACATAACATTTTTTCCCCACTGCTCCCCCGGGCCAGTAGTTCAGAGTTTTACTGGCCCCTTGTATATTCTTACTGGCCCAAGTAAAAAAAAAAAAAAAAAAGAGAGAGAGAAAAAAAATGTGTATAAAACTTCATTTAATTTAACTTCATTTCATTTAACTCCATTATACCTCACCATAGTGCGTGGTGGTCTATATACAACACAGCCTCTGTCCACTTCTTAGATGACCTCACAACAGGTTTACAGAGCTTTAACTTCTGCCTGTATGAGGGAATCAGGTGGATGGTGTTGTGGTCAGAGTGGCCCAGTGCAGCGCGGGGGATGGGGTGATAGGCTTTGTTAACAGTTGTGTAACAGTGATCCAGAATATTCTTCTCTCTGGTCGGACATTTTATAAACTGTTTGTATTTGGGGAGTACATGTGTGAGGTTACCTTTGTTAAAGTCGCCAAGGACAGTAACTAAGGAGTCTGGGTAAAGTCCGCTCCACACATGGTAGCTATCTGGTCGGCGAGTGTGCGTTGTAGCCTACCTCCTGCACGTTGGCCTGCAGTGGGATGTAAACACCGACCAGAATGAATTAAACAAACTCACGGGGGGAGTAAAAAGGTTTGCAGTTGATGAAAAAAGATTCCAGATCAGGAGAACAGTGCTGCTGGATCACTGTCATGTCATTACACCAGCCAATTGGTATAAAAACAGATACCTCCACCTTTAGTTTTGCCGGAGAGTTCCGTGTTATAATCCACTCTAAAGAGTTGGAAGCCTGCCAGGTGCAGCGCAGAGTCCGGTATCGATCCGCACAGCCACGTCTCCGTGAAGCACAAAACAGATGCAGATGTAGAAAGTCTCCGTTTTTCACCATCGGTAGCTGAAGTTCATCCAGTTTACTGGCCAGCGAAAGCACGCTGGAGATAAATATACCTGGCAGCGGTGTGCGGTGTCCGCGTTGGCGGCACGTTTCCCCCTCCTCTGGCGTTTCACTGCACAAAGGTGAGGGCACCTTTGGCCAAAAAGCCCAATAAATCCACTGAAGACTCGAGAAAAGTGGGATAAAAATCCGCTGGAGTTGTTCCCCTGTTCCCCTGCCTTACAACGTCACTGGCCCGAGCGGGCCTGTGACCTGTCAATCAACTTGCCCGACATACTGTTTTATTGGCCCCGGGCCATCGGGCCATGGGTTATGTTGAACCCTGGAAGGAGCACTGTAGCCCCTAAGAGATGTATTAATACATTTTTGTTCAGTCACAAAAAGGTTATACATGGGATTTATATCTTATCTGCAGGAACATATGAGTAGGCACTGTATTATGTGCATTAAGCCCTTTGAAGCCTTTAATCACAATCTTCAACAACCATGACAGATTTTAAATGCAGCTGAAATAAGAAACACTTTGCGCCGTACAAAATGAATGTGAACATGACGGCAACTCAGTTAAAACCACTAAAGTAACGTCTATAATAAATAAATTGCCTCTGAAATGTGGGGCACATTGAACCTTGCAGATTATCTGACAGAAATGATAGCAATTCACTTTAAGGGTAGATTGATTAGGTTAATTTTGTCTTTTTTTTTTTTAGAATTGTTCAATATTTTCTTACCTTCAGACAAAAAAGTGTAGGAGATGTTTAGTTTACCTGCTTGACTCCAGTCTGACTGGAGTCACAGTCGAGACCCCTACACACAGTCGAGACCCTACACTTTTTTTGTCTGAAGATAAGAAAATATTAAACAATTCACTTTAAAGTCAATAAAACAACCTCTAAACTATAATTGCATTTCAGCGGAAATGAGAGGCATTTTGCTCCGTGCAGTATGAATGTAAACCTGCACTTAAAGGTAACAAATAATATAACATCTCGAAAAAGATAAATTGCTGTTGAACTGTGACGTGCTATGCGCCATTCAATATGAATGTAAAATTAAACAAATAAAACATCAAAAATAAATAAGTTTCTGTTGGATTGTGAGGTGCTGTGCACCATTAAAAATGCAAATACTGCCAAACCGCACTTGTTTTGCAAGAGGACATCTCTCAAATTTCCCACTGTGCTGTCTAAAAACTCCGGTCCACTCAAGCATTACCTCGGGGAGGGGGACTGCTGTCTGATGGCTCTGTAACCCCCACTAGTGGCGGGCAGCTGCATGACAGTTAAGCAGCCTTGTACATGAATAAGACACCAATTGATTTAACTAACTAATATTTCTGGTGCCAACTAGCGAGGGGGTGGACGTTTAATTATTAAGATGACTAATTGCACACGTCCCTACTGCAGACAGAAGTTCTCTCAGACGGCATCCATGACCATTGAACCCAAAAAAATGTCTCCCAAAAAGGCACTTATCCAGTCAGAAGACAAAAGGGCCACTACATGAACACCTGGGATCTATCCGTGCACATGACCAGTCTTGACAGGTGCTATGAAAACAGAACAGAGATAATGGATAAAGGAGATACCCCACCAGCCTGTTCTCCCTCAACCCAGAACTTGTTTTCTGAGAAGGACAGGGCTCAAACAAAGTTAACTTTCTCTTGATCTGTGTGGATGAAAAATGCAGCTTTAGTGTCAGAATGTTGGTAAGATGTGTGGCTTGTGGAAAATGAACCCAATATTTACTTTAGTGACTATAGGGTGAAAGAATTGACCATAAATTGTGATCACGTTCATTTTCCTCATTGACGACAATACATTCAGAGCTGCCGCAAGTCTCCTACGGGGGCGTGGAACTGAAGTCACTGAATAAGGAAGTGAGCTGAGTAGGGTATCTCGCTTTGTCCATTATCTGTGAACAGAATCACTCAGATGATGACATCACAGGACAAGCCTTTCAGTACTTGAACTGCACTGGTTGTTAGAACAGTTTCCCTCTAGGATTTATCGATTGGTGTTGATTGGCATATCTGAGAAGGTTTCACATACAACAGAAATTACTTTTTTTTTAATCTTTATTTTTTTAGATTTTACTACAGGAGGATGTCAAACCTGAGAGCTGCTATGATGGACCCCCAGGGACTGTTTCCTTATGGTGCACGGAGCCAGTCTGAATGTGTATTCAGAGCATTACTACTGGCCCAACCAAAAAACAAGGAGCAATTTCTACCGCGGTACATGTCGGCAATGGAATCTTCTGGAAAGTCTCAACCAGAAACGGACTCAAAGATCGCTGCTTTCAACTTCAAAGAGATGTGAGGTATTCATTTTCTGTAACCACAAATCCCACTGGGGCTGTGGGGGACTGGAGCCTATCCCAGATGACATTGGGCGAGAGGTGGGGTACACCTCGGACAGGTCGCCAGGGTTGACACATAGAGACAGACCATTCACACTCACATTCACACCTATGGGCAATTTAGTGCCACCTGATTTATTAACCTGATGTGCATGTTTTTGGATTGTGGGAGGAAGCTGGAGTGCTTGCAGAAAACCCACACTGACACAGGGAGAACAATTTTCAGGTAATGATTTGCAGTGTCCTAGCTAATCTGATCAAGGCCTTTGTTTTTCAGGTGCATTTACATGGACCCTAAAATTCCAATAATAGCCCAATTAGAATAAATCTGACCCATGTAACCACCTCACTTATAAGAGATGGGCCAGTCAGGATGATGGGAAAGAATTTTCAGTCAGGTTTAGAGGGATAATATTAGTGCCCCCAGCAGGGTCTGGTCTGCTTTTTTCACAAGCAAATCTGGTGAGAAAACGCACTGATAATCTATTTTAAACCACATAAAGGATATATTAGATAAGATATAAGTGTCAGTTGTGTCTAAACAGAGAGACACAAACTCAAAGAACATTTAGCAGGACTGAGGGCAAATTTGGGACATAACCAAATCAATGAATTCATCACTTTCACATGTTTCAGAGACATGCAGAATGAAAGATGGACTCCAGAGGCTTTCCATCAGTGCAGGATGTACTCCAACCAGGGTCACCTGACCTCAGTTACACCTGAGGCCCTGAAGGAAGCCTCTGCAGATTCTCCTCAGGAGAATACAGGGGCCATTAACAATGTAGTTGAGACAGCCCCAGAGTCTGAGCCCTGCAAACACACTATCTCAGAACCAGCGGTGAAACACAGACCTGTTCCTCCCTCTACTCCAAAGAAGAAGGAACTATCAGTAAGGCACAGGAGGGTAGTCCTCAAACCTGTGGGGACCCACAGGCCTGTTGTTCCCCCTATTCCTCAGAGGAAGGAGCCAACCGTGAACAGGCAGGTGGTCTCTGAGAAGTCAAGTGGCGGCAGGTCTCCAGTACGAAGAGCTGTGGGGCTGACCGCTGCACCCAAACCTGTCCTTCAACCTATTGGCCAGAGGAAGAACCTACCACCAAGGCCAAGTTGGGCTAAGCAGGACCCTCCTAAGCTCAAGGAGCTGGAGGAGGGTTGGGACAGCGATAATTCGTCACCAGAGAGGAAGAGAGTTCTATGGACGGACAGGGAAAGGGTTAGACCGGTGTCTGCTGTCAGCATAAGAACACGTAGAGTGTCCACAGTAAGGGCTGCTGGTCAGCAGGAGAATACAAGAGCCATCGATGATGTAGAGAAGACAGCAACAGGCCTGTGTGTCACCACTGCCACCAAGGCCAAGTGGGGCTAAGGAGGACCCTGCTAAGCTGAAGGAGCTGGAGGGAACTGCAGAACTAAGTTAGACCTAAGTAGGGCCTACTGCCTGCTGCTTTGGTTAGGTAATTTGTTAGTTAGCTAGTTAGTTTGTAATTGAGGCAGTTAGGTTGGGTTTTCCTCCGGGTCGCTCTGGTTTTTATCCCACAGTCAAAAGAGAAATTTAAAAACAAAAAAAAAAAAAACCCTCTTGAATTATTTTATTCAAACTAAAGAAATATTCACAAACTCTTCTTTGACGTTTATGCAAAATAAAGCATTATAAAAAGTTGGAAATCATGTCTTTCATTCTTGAATTATTGAGTGTTAACAGTCAACACTGCCATTACTCTAACATTTTTAATCAACTCAGGTGGGCTATAATCAACCCCACCAAATTGTTTGTGACATTGCCATAATACACACTGAAGAAAGGCGTCTTGCTCGAAACGTCGGTGTGGCAATGTTAACTCTAATTGGAGTGCTGTCCTGATCTTTGCTTGCTTTAAGGATTCAGCACCCAGTCCCAAAGGTTTAATCATGAGTGTGTTGTCTTATTTTTTATCATACCAACAACCCACTGTCTTAAATTCCAGTTTCTTTGTTTACATCATATTTACACTAAAAAAAAAATTGTCTGTCACCATAGTAATCCCAAATATTCCAGAAACGTTTTCTTATGTAATCCATTTTAGAAAAAGAAATCAAACAGGGAAACAAATCCTTGTAGTTGCATTTTATTTTGATCAGTCTGTTTTTATAAAAGGGCTTGTGACATCTCAAATGTAGCTTTGACTTGAAACTGAAAATGTGTAGCCCATTTTGTAGAAAATACCTAGATATATATTGTGTATGACCAGTCAGCCTGTCCATACCGAGATATGAATGTTTGTCCATATCAGCCCAGCCCTCGTGCAAAGTTGGCCAAAAAGGTTTTATAACTCCTGTTTTATTTTTGACGTACTGTCCCTATGTGTCACTGCAGTTTCCTGTGTTTTCCTGCTTTTCATTAACCACACCCGCACTAGTACTTCCTAATTAATCGTGTCAAAGCTTGTTACTGTTGCTAAAAATGGTCAAATATGTTGCCATATCAAACTACAAACATTATTAATTATAAATAAGTTTCAAGCATAACATGTGATCAGGTTTTGGACCTTGTCCACTTTTGTGTAGGGATCAGCTGCAGACTGACTTGGCAGAGATGGCTGCCATCTTGTTTTTACATGGATTAGTATATTGTGCTCTTACTGCCACTAGGTGGGACAAAAAAGTGTCCATGAACAAGGACAACAGGGCTAAGTAAAGTAGAATTAAGTTTAGGTCAAGTAAACCCAAAATGTGATGTCCTCATATGAGGACACAGGATCTCAGGAGGGTATATACTCACCAACTCCTCATATCTCTGCCAGATTGTCTTTGCTCCTTCATTCTCTGTGTTTGATTCTTTGGATTATTTTTTAACTTTGCTTGTTTTGTATTTAAGGATTTTTGCCTGTTCTGTCTGTTTTGTTAGCTTTTTGGACCTTTGTACCTTGTTTGTGTGCTACCTTTTTGGTGTGAAGAGTGAGAGTCATTACAGATACATATGTGGAACACACACAAAACGCTGCCTCCTGTGCCACATTTGCACAGGATAAGCAAACTCTGATGATGCCCACTGTCATTTCTAACTCCACTCTACACAACACAGAAACACTACACAGCACTATGAGCAGTAATGCAGTGTTAACCTCCATCTCTGTTAAATGTGGGTTTAACAAAAAGAACCGATTTTGCCACACATTGTCACATGTCATCCATCTCATCATCTTTCATTCTTCTGATTGATTTAAATTTAATTATTCATTTTTTCTGCCAACGGGTCTTTATGCTGTGTAGTGAGATGATCCTCCTGAACCCAAAATTATGCCAATACTCTAATTTCTAATTGCCAGCACAGCCCTCATAATTTACTACCAGGAAAGAGGCAGAAACCAGGTGCAGAGAAAATGAACAAAAACTTAATATGACCCCAAATCACAGAGATGCTGATTCACAAGGGGCTAGTATTATCATGCAAACCCTTTTTTTTTTTTTTTTGGTGAAACATGGTAGGTAATTTGTGTGTGAGTTTTTAGTTGAGAGATTGTGGACATGTCAAATTCACACAGGATTAAGATCACAGACGACCTTCACATTTGTTACAAGCTTAGTTAAGTTAACAGTGATAATAATTATCATTATTTTATAATAACTAGAACAAGAACGCTGCCCCTGTGACCTGGCCCCGGATAAGAAAAAATGAATTAAAAAATGGATATGGTAGTAATAATATTAATATTTATAATAACAATAATTGATAATTCCTAATAATTCCTAATAATCAATAATAATAATGTTCTTATTTTGAAGTTGTCTAAAAAATATATTTTTTTGTGTATAATCAATAATGATATCAATTATT